GACCATGGCCGACGTCTACGTTTGGTCCGACTTCTTGTCATTGCGCTTGCCATGGGCCACGCCGTGGATGAGTGAAATAAGCTTCGCGACGAGTCAAAATAATTGTCTGGGGGGGCAGGCCGCGCGGCGACGGCGGCGCAATCATCGTGTGCGCGCTTGATTAGCTCCGGGTTGCACTTGCGCCAAGTTCGCGCTCGCTGATTGCCGTGGGCGCGTCTGCGCTGGCCCAGAGCGCATTGCCAGTTTGCTCAACGAGCGTTGGTCAGGAGTCTTCAAGCGGAAGGGCGCTGACAGCGGGGCGCAGGACCACTGGCTAGCAGACGAGGCCCGCCACGGTGGCCCTGAGATGTTTCGCCTCGCAGTCGAAGAGGACCGCCGCCGGGGAGGGCCGCGCAAGGAAGCAGCTCAACATCGCCTTTTCGACGTCCACGATGTCAGATAGCATCGGCCTTCCCTTGGCGAGCCAATGCTGGGCCATGGGCAACCCAGGAGCAATCGCAGGTTCAATGTGCAACCGAATGGTCCCACAAATGATCCTGTTGTCCGCGTCTGCGACGTTCGGGGGCCGCGTGTTGCTGGGAGTGAAAGACGCCCGCGCCGTCGTGCGGGCGCCCAGCAAGCTTCTGCAGAAGAAATGCCATGTTGCTCTCGTTGAAGCTGCCCCAGCCCCCCCCCATGGTGCGCCGGCCGTCCGGGCCTGAGGTGGCGACGAAAGCGTCGTGGAGCGCGACGGCCGCGAAGCGGTTGAATTTGCGCCGCGCCATGAGTGGGGCGGGGGCCGTTGGAAATGAGGTGAATGGCTATTTCGAAAATCGGGAGTTCTTACAGGACGTTCTTGCGGCCCGCGGCTGGCCCCCGCGTTGCGCCCGAGTCTTCGGGCGTTCTATTAGCAGAACGGTTGCAGCGTTATGATGAAGGGCCCCTCCGCTTTCCCAGGCCTCATCCTTGCGGCAGGAGTTCCGCGGGGCTGCTCCCTTTCCCCGTTGTTGTTCGCTGTGCTTTCCGATTTTTCCGCGCGTCGTCTGCAACGTTGTCTTCCTGGTGTCGCCCCGCGCGCCTATGCTGGCGATCTCGCCGTCGTTTAGGGGCGGGCGGGTTGGGGGCGCGCCAGTGTTGGAGCTGCTCTTCGAGGAGTACGAGCGCATCTCTGGCTTTCTGGCCTTCGACTTCACCATGGGAGATCGGCGTGGCTCCCGCGTGGTCAGGGCGCAGCTGCGGGCCCGCGCTCCGACTTGGCGATTTTGCAATGTGCCGCTGCGAATTCTATCTGGGCCTTGTCGGTCGTTGGGCCGCAGCGGGCGGAACGGTCTTGGTCAGAGCCGCTGGGCAAGTTTGTTGCCCGGGCCGGTCTCTCCCTGTGATCGCGTTTCTCTTGCAACTCGACAGTCTGCCGTCGAATTGGGGCGCGTATTAAAAACGTGCCTGTGCGTCGGTTCTGGTTTCTTCATGAGCGTATTGGCTTGCCGCATCTACGTGTCCCCGTGGCCGCGCTCCTCTTGCAACTCGACAACCTGCCGTCGAAGTGAGACGCATGCGAAACACGTGCCTGTGCCGTGCTGTTCCCTGGTCCCCGTGGTTGGGCGCCTCCAGACGTGTTGCGGGATTTGCGGTCCATCGGTCTTGCGGAGTGGGCGAGCGCCCGCGGCAGTTCCGCGGCAGCCAATTGCAGAGTGCGCCGGCGTCGTTAGCGCCATCTTCGCGTGCCCATCCAGGACTCCTCGCGCATCCTCCGCAAAGCGACGTGGAGCGCATGGTACGAATCGAATTTCTTGTCCAACCTCCAGGCCGCCAGTGAGAAGTTGCGCGCGAAAGCGCGCCAGGCTGGCGTGTCGGTCGACGAACTGGTCCAGGGAGGCGCTCGTGAGCCGTCGCCCTGTGAGCGCTGGCGAAAGCAGTGCAAGCTGATTTCTCGCGCCCCGCAGCAGGTGTGCGTGCGTCGGCTCTTGCGCCGCTACTTGGGCCGGCGACCCATGCATATTCTTCCAGGTCGTCGCGTGGACAGGGCGATTGCCATGCTGCGCGGGCTGGCGCGTTTAGTGCCGCCTTGCGTTTGGGCTTGCGTTTTTCGTGCGGTTTGCAATGGGTGGGCGGCGAGCCGACGCATGCAGCGCGGGGCGCCTTGCTTCTTCGGCTGCGGCGCTGGCGAGGACAGTCTCGAACGATGCAGTTGTTGTGGCCATGTCGCCGCGTTCAGAAGGCGACGCCTCGGCCTATCCCAACCGCCTCCCTCTGAGCGCCTCGCCTCTTTCCTCCTCCTTTCCCCTGCCTTATTCCGATAGCGCTTCCAAGGAGCTCGCGCGACGAGTGCTCGCCTCTTACAGCGTTTACGCGGCAGCCGACGCCGCGCGCCACGGTTTGACGAGTGACGCCGCCGCGGCCATGGCGCAATTTGCGCGCGATGCTTGCGCGGCACATGCTGGCCTTGCAATTCTAGTAGCAGCTTTTTGGCAGATCTCACCCCCTCCTCTTCCCCCTGCTCCTCCGTCCCCTTCCTCCTCTCCCCTCCCTCGCTCCTTGTATGTGTGTGTGTGTGCGCTGTAATCTATGTGTGGTAAGTTCTGTTATCCTGGCTGTTGCCAGGCAGCCATCAGGGTTGCATCTCGCGCCGCCTCCTCCCTTCTCCGTTGTTCTTCTCCCGCCCGTGTCCGGGGCGATCCGGCTTTTGCTCTTTGTCAGGATTGGCAATTGTAGATCTTCACGCTTTTGATGCGGCTTCGACGCTTTGAAATGCCAGGGGATGTGTTTTATGAACGACATTCGATTGGGATCCCGTCCCCGATGACACGTGCATGTTTCGGCCGGTGGATTTATGTGTCGTGCTTTCTCATTTACTGGCTCGTGCGCGGAGCCTGGATTCTGACATGTACATTTTCACACTTGTCTTAATATTCAGACCCCGGTAGCGCGCATTGGCTCGCCTATTGCAGGTTGGCCGGAGCGTTGCTCCATGCGCTCTATTGTCCTCCTCCTCCCTTTGTTCTTTCCTTCTTCCTCCCCCCCCGCCGCTCCCTCTCTCCGTGTCTGGCCGAGCCCGGGGCCATTGCCACTTTTTGCCTGTTCGCTTGCGTTGTTTTCTTTGATCGTGGTGTTCATGAAGGTGTTCGTGCAGGGTAGCGGAGTTCTCTCCTTCAGTTCTTCCTTTTTTCACAACCGAACTACTAGTAGTAATGCTATTATTGATACCGCCACCGCTACTACTACTGCTACTATTACTATTACTATTATTGCTACTACTGCCACTACTACTACTACTACTACTACTACTACTACTACTACTACTTCGACTACTACTACTACTACTACTACTACTACTACTACTACGACTACTACTACTACTACTACTACTACTACTACTACTACTATTATTATCATTATTATTATTATTATTATTTCTACTACTACTACTACTACTACTACTTCTACTACTATCACCACTAATACTTACACCGCTACTCGTATATTTTGTACTACTACTACTACTACTACTACTATCAGTGATACACATATTACTAACCCTAGCAACGGTGCGTCATCATATTTTTACCACGAATAATCATACCAAGCCTGTCACTATTAATACGAATACTGATCATGGAGTAGTAGTAGCCGTAGTAGTAGTAGTAGTAGTAGTAGTAGTAGTAGTAGTAGTAGTAGCAACAGTAGTAGGATCAGTAGTAGAGGTGCTCCTACTCATATTAAAAGCACATATTGATATACGAATCTAGCGAACCCTTACACACAAGCGTAATCATATTTCTAAGACAACAGAGGCAGACTAATATTACGAAGAAGGCTAGTATGAGGAATCCGGCTAATACTGACCATACTTATAACAAACGGCTAGGACACTTGCTAATACTACTACCACTAACAGTAATACTTAAACGAATCGTGCTTTTCATAATACTAAGAATAACACTTATACTATTACTAATAATGTTACTGGTAATACGTAGACGCATACGAACAACATTTACACGACTAATGTTAATGCAATGTCACTACAGCTTAGGACGAACACACTAGTCATAGAAACACTACTAGCAACCTTACTACGCATATTATGAACACTGAGCTGAGAACTAAGACGGGCACTAACAACAATAAACATATGACTGGAGCTACGACTTCTACTAGTAGCACTGCTACTGCGATAACGATCGCAATGATAGACCTCAAGGAGAGGAATGATAACACTACTAAGAATACTACTACTAACATTAATGATACTACGACGGTTGATAATACTACGGACAATAAGAACGAGTACTAACAATTCACATACTGTTACTACTGATAATGCTATTACGAGGTAGAGGAGGAGAGGGGGGAGGAGGAGGGGGAGGAGGTGGAGGAGGACGGGGTGGAGGAGGAGGGTGAGGAGGGGAGGAGGAGGAGGAGGAGGAGGAGGAGGAGGACAGGAGGAGGAGGAGGAGGAGGAGGAGGAGGAGGAGGAAGAGGAAAAGTAAGAGGAGGAGGAAGAAGAAGAGGAGGAGGCAGAGGAGAAGGAGGAGGAGGATCAGGGGAAGGGAAGATGAGGAATAGGCCGAGGATTGGGTCATCATCTTGGGTCGTTTTCCTCCATGCGCCCGCTCCTCCCCCCTCCACCTGGCCCTCCTTCTCCAGCTCCCCCTCCCTCCTCCCCGTCCTCCCTCCTCGTCCACCTCATCCTTCTTCCGCCTGCTCCCTCCCCCCCCTGTCCTCCTCCCTCCTCCCCCCCGGTTCCCAAACTCTCAGGCGTGCGGGAAGGGGTAGGGGAGGAGAAGGAGGGGATGACGGTCGGATAGGGCGGCATGAGTGGGAGGAGGGAGGAGGAAAGAGGAGGAGGAAAAGGGAGGAAGGAGCAAGGGGAGGATGGGGTGGAGGAGGAGGAGGAGGAGGAGCCATCCCTGCCCTTGTCCTCCTCCTGCCTTCTTCTCTTTCTGCTCTAGCCGACCATCGTCCCGAGCGCGTGCCTGACTTTCCACCCGCCGCCGACCCATCGCCGGCCCTCTGCGCAGGTCGGTGCGATGGGGACGCTGCTGAAGGTCGTCATCGACAACGTGCAGCAGGCGGCGAAGCGCGAGCGAGTCAAACCAGTTGCTGCACGGATGGGGCTGCGCCAAGGGAGGATGTTCCCCCTTTCTTTCCGCGTCCTCCCGCCCCCACACAGCGTTGAGCACGCTGCTGCGATTGGTAGGGCTGTTGGCTTGACCAGTGCTGAAGCTGATAAGAGTGTCGAGACGGCGACCAAGAAGGGGGGTGCTCTTCCATGCGCCACGGCGCGACATTCTCCTGGCCCCGCCGGGGCCACACAACTTAGGGGCATCCATATACGTACGTGTCCGCCTGGCGTTCCTCGTGCATCTTGCCACAGTTGAGGCCCAAAGTGGTTCCGTTCTTTGCTCATGGCTCCTTTTGGCAAAGCCTTGACTGCATCCCCCTCCCGACGGGAACGTAGCGCTGGCCGCGCCCGCCTGGCCCGCCGAGGTCCTGTGGGGTGACTGTGGGGCCGCAGGGCCTGGACGTACAGGCAGCCGCGCCCTGGCAAGGCCCAGGCCCACTGACCCCGCCGCGCTGGCCCACAGGCCCTTTGGGGTGGCGGCGCTTGCTGCAGGGCGGCAGAAGCGCCGAGTGGCACTCCGTCCAATTGGCAGTCCCGCCCCCTCCTCCCCGCCCCTTCGTCTCGCCCAGCGCTTCCGAAGGCGCTCTCTCCTGCGGGGCGCCGGGGCGGCACAGGCGGTGGGGGTCGAGGGGGACAGAGGAACGACCACCGCCGCGTCTCCGTGTGACTGAAGCCGAAGGAGGGAGGCGGAGGACGAGGAGGAGGGGGGGGGGGGAGGAGGAGGAGGAGGAGGAGGAGGAGGAGGAGGAGGAGGAGGAGGAGGAGGAGGAGGAGGAGAAGGAGGGGGAGGAGGAGGGGGAGAAACAAGCCTTCACCGGCCAGATGAGGCCCTTTGATGGCCAGGTGGGGCCCTTCGCCGGCTAGGTGGGCCTCCGCTCTCGGTCCTCTGTCCGGCCAGACCCAGGCATGTGTCGTCACGCGTTTTTTCCATGCGGGCCCCCCAAAAGTTTCGACCCGCCCGCAGGGGCCAGTCTTCCGTCCCGAGTTGTGTTTCTTGACGGTCCCGCGGCCCAGCGAGGGCCCCCCGAGGCCGAACACGGCAGAACATGTGCCGTCGCTACAGGCGGCCGGGATTAGTAGGGCGACCCTGCCAGCTCAAGGGTACCTTTGTGTCCCGTGCCTCGCGACACGTGCCTTTTTACACTCCTACGGCGATGTGGCCCTCGGAAGGGTCTTGTGTCCTCTCGCGTGTCCTTTCCAATCGAGTCCGACCGTATTTTTTTCACGACGCGAGCACGTTTGGCTTTCGGGTCATCGCTCGGGCCTCCAGCGGCCGATCGGCACGGGCCTCGCACCCACTGGGACGCCCTCGTCGAGGCGCAGCTGCTGGAGAGCACCCCGAGGGTTGGACACCGCCGAGGTCCGCCGAGCACGCCCGAGAACCTCCAACCTCGAGCCCGTCCCTCCCAAACCCTTCCCCCTCCCCCCCCCCCCCTGCGCACGCCCTCGGCCGGCGGGCGCCAGGCGGGTTCCGCGGCCAAGGGGCAAAAGACGCAGCGCCCCACCACGCCGCGCGGCTCGGCGGCGCTTCTTTCTGCTCCGAGGAGGAATGTGCGTGCGTGCGTGCGTGCGCGTGTGTGTGTGTGTCTGTATATGTGTGCGTGTTCCTGTGTGTGTGTGTGTCTGTGTGTCAGTGTGTGTTTGTGTGTGTGTGTGTGTTTGTTTGTGTGTGTGTGTGTGTGTTTGTTTACTTGTTTGTGTGTGTGTATGTGCGTGCGTGCGCGCGCGCGCGCGTGCGTGCGTGCGTGCGTGCGTGTGTGTGTGTGTGTCAGTGTGTCAGTGTGTCAGTGTGTCAGCGTGTGTTTGTGTTTTGTTGCACCCACTGACGCGCAACGTCCCGAAGCCGGCACGCGGGCAGCAACGGCCGGAAGGCCGATGTCGTACACGCCGCCACAGTGCAGCCTCTCCCCGAGGAGGCCGGGCGACCCCTCTCAGAAGGGCACTCGGGGGTGGACAGACCTCCTGCCTTGACACGTCGATTAAGGAATTGGCCGTTTTCGGTTCGCGAGAGGGCGTCGCGGCCGTCATTTTTTGCGGGTCCAGGTCCGTCGGTTTCGGTCCCAGGCCGTTTTCACTAAGGGGAGGTCTACTAAAGGGGGGTTTGTCCACCGCCGAGAGGAGGAGCAGGGGAGATCGATGATCGAGGCGTCCCAGTGTCCCGCCTGTGACCAAGATTGCATCGAATGGGGAGCCAGCCGCGGCGATGACGAGGGGCTCACATGCCGAAGGGAGGCGTCGGAGGAGGGAGGGAGGCGTCGGTTTCGGTCCCAGGCCGTTTTCACTAAGGGGAGGTTTACTAAAGGGAGGTCTGTCCACCGCCGAGGCACGACGAAGAGTCCGCCGTGCCCGCCGTGGACGACCGCCGTGGGCGGAGCCGCCTCCTTCTTCAGGAGGGG